GCATCTGAATGTTTATTTAGCTACAGATTTATGAATGTTTATTTAGCTTAAACAATTACTCCATATAGCATTACAATGTCTGTTTATATCTTGCAATTACAATTTTTTTGGTTTGATGTGAGAATCAGAAAGCATTATTTCATTTTCTTTTGGCAAACGATGGCTGAAAGATAAGCCGGAACTGAAGTAATACTAGGAATAATATTAATTACTTGTTTTGCGCTGCTGCATACATCTTCAAATAGTAGGAACTGTAATCCATAAGAGAGAAGCACAAGCTCCCTAGTATGAGGGCTGTTTTGATCAGCAGCTTTATATAGACAACGGCATGCTTCTATTTTATTTGGTTAAACAATTCAGAATACATGCAGTAATACATGTAGTTGACCATAGAGTATGCGTTGAGCAGGAAACTGTGGAGCTGCTCACAACCTCCACAATTACTTGACTGGTAGCTGTGATTCAAAATAATTGCATGAATGTGCCTGTAATAATTGCATGATTCAAAATCTACACAAGAACGTTTTTTGCCTAGTTCTAAGATTGCTAATGACTCCACTCTGATAATCTTGTACCCTATGCATGTTGTAGGCAATCAAGATCTTCTCAAGGTGTTCCTGGAACTTCTCAGAGGCGATATTCTCAAGGTGTTGCAGAATCTTCTTGGAGGCAAATCTTCTCAATTGCAAGATCTTCTCAGAGGTGCTAAGCATCAAGCTTGTAGCAAACTTGTGGACATGAACCTAACTAAGTACTGATGGTTGTGTATTTTGAGCTTTTACCTAATTTTTTATGGCTTCCATGGACAACAAGTGCTAGTTTGTTTTTGTTCATCAGTTGTATATATATATGTTGAGACAAGGATAGCTTGATTTAAGTGACATGATTGCATATGACTTGAGTTTGACAATTGAATGAGTATGTCTAATATGATCATTTGTGTATGTCATCATAAATCATTTCAATATTGCATTGATCTGAAACGTTTGATCCAATGTACATAAGTTTTAGATATACAAGGTTTTATTTTTTTTACCTATTTAATTGAGCTCGATGGATTGTTAGTCGCTAAAAGTTCTTATTGCGATGAACTGTCGGTCGCTAAAAGCTCTAACATGTTGGTTGCTAAAAGTTGGACCGTCGAACTGTTGGTCGCTAAAGATCATGTCCGTCGCTGTTTACATATAATGACGGCTTCATTAGCAACTGCAGGGGTCCGTCGCTATAACATTTAGCAACTGACTGTCCGTCGCTTAACACCCCTTTCAACAACTCTAAGTCAGTCGCTGTTTTAGGGTTGTGGTGTAGTGTTCTGACATGGTTCGACGCCCCAATGGTCACCTACTGAATTCAACTGTTGAGCCGACCGTTGCCGCGCTGCTGTGGCGGACATGTGGGCCAATGACTCGGATGGTCCGACGCCCTGCTCCGAACTCGGTCTGACTCCCAAATTCCTCTCGCGATGCTTGCTAGAACCCGTCGGACTACACCTCAATTGGTCCGACGATGCCTACTGTAGCAGGGTCCGATGCCTTCATCTTCTCTCTGCTCCATGAACAGTATCTCTGTTCGGTCTGATGCCTACTTCTCTCTGGGTCCGACGCTCCCGCGATTGCCCTAGCTAGGGTCTGCTGAGAGTCAGATGGCCCGACGCCCTGCTGAACCTCCTTATCCTTTGTTCCTTCGCGATTCTAATGCCCGGCTTGGTTCCAACTTGTGCCTTGGACTTTTGCTTGATCTTTTATGTCTTCAACACAACTTCAAATGTCTTGCTTGAGGTGTTGATCATCTGGATCATCACGTCGCCTAAGTCCAAGCCACTTTTCCATCCTATTGAACTACAAAACAAAACACTTGCAAATTCATTAGTCCAACTTGGTCATGTTGATCATCAAACACCAAAATCTAAACTAAATGGCCAAGGGTCCATTTTCCTTACCTGCTCCATAGTTGATTTACTATCTTGAACACTAAATTTATAAAAATCAGGTATCCTCCAACCATCAGGAGCTTTTAAGAAATCAAAGTGCACAGGTTTCGACTTATGATATGTGTTCCTGCTAGGCTTAATTTGCACACCCAAGATATTCTCAATAGACTTGGACAATTCATCCTTGAATCGATTCAAAAGATTCGTTAAAATCGGTAGAAGAAGGGGCAGTGGGGTGCACCGCCAAGCATAGGAATCATGCTTAGGGACTTTGGTGGGTTAGGCAAAACCATATTGTACCCCAATGAAAGGGTGATTCACTGCTGGTCCTTTATTGGTTCGTGCGTTATGAGCCAAATTTGGAGCAAAAGTGACCATTGGCAAAGTTATGCTAACCCTAGCTAAATTGGCCTTACTGGTTTCAATTGCCAAAGTGACCAATTTGGCTTGGTTAGCTGCTGTGTATAAACTCTGATTCTCATAAAAATTATAAGGCATGCCATATTGAGGTTGTTTAGAAGCCGATTCACTAGTAGATGCATCAACATAATTGACTTTCTTACCCTTTAGTCTATCAAAGGGAGACATGACCATGTTAACAATAGTCATAAGATTGTTTTCGGTTATATATTTTCATTATCATGTAGCATCTTAGCATAATCGACATGAGTATAGTTAGGATCTTCAACCTCTTCATTAGTTTTTACCTCAGGTGCAGCGGACGTAGATGCAGAGGGCTCGCCAAAGACGGACTCTCGGTATTGAGTAATGTTGCCCGGCCCATGTTTGGAGCAGCCTGCAAGGAACGCCTCTAGATCGCCAACAAGCTTGACTTGTATCTTTTGGCAAAGATCATCGAGAAGCTTCTCGATCGACAATGGCGAGGTAATGTTGACCGGATTCATTGGATCGGTCAAATAATCCGTCTTCTTGCTGTTGTTGTCTGACATGTTGCTAGTAGATCTATTCTTCTTTTTTTTCTTAGCGAAGTCGCCAAAAAAAATTGTGTTGACGCCGAATTGGGTCACACACCAGCAAGGACTAGCACGCCTGAGGTCGCACACGAGCAAGAACATGGTAAAACGAGTGAGACTGACCAGCAAGTCGGTCAAGCCGATTCGTCACCCGTTCTTCACCTGGTAGACTTCTGAACACCTCTCAGGAAGACCAGTAGGTGAGGGGCACAACCAGGTTGCTCTAAGATCGGCAAGGCCACCTAGAATGCCGCCCAACAAGGGTTGGAAAAATTAGGGTAAAAGGAGCATAGTATATATATATATATATATATATATATATATATATATATATATATATATATATATATGGTAAGGCTATTCTGCAGCTGGCCATAGAATAACTTATTCTATAGCCACCTTGATTTACGATAATATTTGTACCAATTTACGATAACATGAATATGCATTTACGATACTCGTGTTACTACAACTCACGGTGATATTTACGATAATGTTATAGTAAATCACTTAGTAAGGAGTTACTGTAATCTCATAAATTTGTATAGTAATTATCGTAATTCAAAGTGGCCACATAATAAGTTATTCTATGGCCAGCTGCAGAACAGTAGCCAGCTACAAAATAAGTTATTCTGTAGCCACCTCCATTTACGATAATTTTATATACTAATTTACGATAATGTCAATACATATTTACGATAGTTGGGTTACTATAACACATGGGGATATTTACCATAACGTTATAGTAAACCACTTAATAAGGAGTTACTATAGTCTTGTAAATTAACATAGTAATTATCGTAACTCAAAGTGGCTACAGAATAAGTTATTTTGTAGCCAGCTACAGAGTAGTTCTATATATATATATATATATATATATATATATATATATATATACTCTTGTCCCAGAAGAAAACATCTCCAAGACGCAATTTTCAAGTTCGCACAGCCAAAAATAGATTAAAACCAGGCTGGAAACGAACTGAACTCATAACAGTAAAACCGACCTGACCGGTTCTGAAAACCGGCTTAGCGGGTTTTCTTGGGGCTGCAGGGTGCCCATTTGGGAATCCAGCTAGACCGGTTTTGCCAGATTAAGCTCAGACTGTCTTTTCTTCGTTTGAACTCCAAACTTAATGTTCTAAATATATTTCTTCAACATCTTGACGCCAGAAATTTGATTGTAGAGTCTATTATTCTTGTCGGCATATTTTTGCTGCCAACAGGTACTTTATTTGGTAGTTGGTGAGGGCCGGAGAGGGCAGCCGGCGAGCTTTTTATTTTATACGAAATTGGTAGTTGACGAGGCGCCAGAAGGTGCAACCAGCTTACCAGCCCCATTTTTTATTACGCAGCTGTTTATATATCAAAATAGGGCATCGGTTTATATTATATATGGAGCAGATGACACCAGTTGTCTGTCGTTTCTTCGGTGACTAGCTCGTCGATCCCTCTATATAAGTCACATGTGTTGACATACTAACAGCTGCAAAACCTTCAGTTTAGAGGGAGTTTAGGAAACATATGTGGGATTGCGGTCCATGCACATTGATGCTTTCTCTTCCTCGTCATTGCTTCACATCATCATCCCGCTCTGAGAGGAGAGCGCTCCTTTCAATCGATTGAAGAAGGTACGTACGTATAAAGTTCTATAGTAGTTTTCTCTTTATTTTCTTATGGGAATTTTTATTTCAGTATAGTATCAATAGAGTCTCTCCGTCAACAGGCATATCACCTACCAATAACGAATAGCATAATTTAATTACTACAATATTTTTTTGAAATTTTTTTAGCACGTCCATGTTAAGTCTAGGACTTTGGATTGTAAACCACACAATCCATCTAAGAAACTGGTCTACGCTCTCTACTCTTCTAAATATGTAGATAGATATAGTAATTTTATAGCATCTACAGTATATATAATTAGATGAACTAGTAGAAATATAAAAATCACAAGCTGCATGAAACCATTGCTTTGCAAAGCACATCCTCTTTCTTATGTAGCACCATGGATCTTAGATGTTAATTCCAACGAATTTTAATTTCATTTTCTTGCAGCTACATATCCTATTGCCAAGCTGGTTGTAGTTGGCTCCATGGATCTGACAAATATTGCCACATGGGTTACTACCGTAGTTGTTATTTTCATCACCGCAGTAGTGACCAAGATTATTGTAACTGGAAGAAGGGCTACGTTTCAGGCAGTATGTAGTAGGGCACACCCACCTGTTGTGAATGGTCCTTCTCTCATAAAACTTGTGCATGTGGTCCTTACCAAGGGTCTGCGAGAAATGATCCGTGACCAATATCGAGCGTTGGGGAGTGTGTTCACCTTAAGTTTCTTTGGAGTGAAGATAACATTCTTAGTCGGGCCTGAGGTCTTGGATCATTTCTATCAAGGGCTAGAGTCAGAGATTAGTCATGGTAATACGCTTGAGTTCATGGTGCCCATGCTTGGCAAAGAGGTTGGCTTTGGTGTAGATGTCGCCACCCGCAATGAGCAGATGCGGTTCCACAATGATGCACTGAAACTGTCAAAGTTGCGAAGTCACACGGATCCCATGCTTCAAGAAGTAGAGGTCAGTATCAAAATGTTAAAAAACAATAATGCCCCTCTATATATTTTGACTCGGTACATGTATGTTTGTTGCTACTTAGATGAATGAAAGAGGCATTCATTAATTTAAACACTCACGACAGTATTGTTATATGTATTTTTGAATGAACAGGACTACTTCACAAGATGGGGCCAGCACGGTACAGTTGATTTAAAACATGAGTTTGAGCAGCTACTCATGTTAATCTCGAGCCGATGCTTACTTGGGAGGAGATTCAGGAGAACATGTTCGATGAGGTTCACACGTTGTTTCGTGAACTCAACGGCGGCATGAGTCTAGCCAGCGTCTTGTTCCCTTACGCCCCAACTCCGACGAACCGCAGGCGTGACCGAGCACGGGCCAAACTCTCCAAGCTATTTACTGAGATCGTGAGATCACGCAAGAGCTCCAACCGGACTGAAGGGGATGTTCTACAGAATTTGATAGATTCCGAGTACAAGGACGGCCGCCCCACAACTGAAGCGGAGGTCACTGGTCTGGTCATCATGTTGCTCTTCGGCGGGAAGCACACCAGCTCCGTCACTAGTACCTGGACCGGAGCCTGCCTGCTCACCCATGAAAAATGGCTGGCTGCTGTCATTGAGGAGCAAAAGGAGATAGCTAGGGTATATGGTGACCGGATAGACTACAACGCGCTGCTACAGATGGATACCCTGCACTGTTGCATCAAGGAAGTCCTGCGTATGCACCCTTTGGTACCAGTGTTTTTCCGCAAGGTACACAAGAGCTTCACGCTACGGACCAAAGACGGCGCTGAGTATGAGATTCCGAGAGGGCATACCCTCGCAAGCCCTGCATTGTTCAACAACTACCTGCCATACATCTACAAGGACCCTGGTGTGTATGACCCGGACAGGTTTAGTCTTGAAAGAGAGGAAGATAAAGTTGGTGGCAAGTTCTCTTTCACGGCGTTTGGTGGTGGAAGGCATAGCTGTGTCGGCGAAGCATATGCGTACATGCAAATTAAGGTGATATGGAGCTATTTGCTCAGAAATTTTGAGCTCAACTTGGAGTCCCCATTCCCTGAGACAGACTGGAGCAAGCTAGTGCCATCGCCCAAAGGAAAAGTAATGGTGACGTATAGGAGGAGGGTGGCTGCCTAGCTAGCGCTAGTACCTCGCGTTGCATTATTGGAAATGCATGCATGCGTAGCTTCCTTTGCTTCTGTACCATATATATTTGTATCTGTCCATGTCCATATGGAGGGATATACATACAAATAGTACGTAGTCATGTGTGCAAATGTAATATGTTCTGGCTCATTAAGTGTTATATATATATATATATATATATATATATGCCTAAATTATTAAGTGTTCTATAATACAATAATGTGTTAAAATTGTTCACATCTTCGTACTATAAATAGACGACGGTCAAATTTACATTCATCATCTAATCCGATATATAGAATTCCCTTCTTTATGGAACTAGCTAGATTCCATATCTAGTTCTATGCAGCATATTGTTATCAATTGTATATCTTGATTTGATTCCTATTTGATTTGGATTAGTTAGATTTCAATAAGGATTCTTCCTTTATTTCGTCTTTTATTATGATAGATGAAGGGGGAAAAATGGGAAATCAAAGATATCGAAGATGCATATGTACCAGGATTGGAAGCTAGTCGGAATGGTACACTTCTTTAAGAAAACCTATGGCTAAGAGCCTAGATATCTCTTCTCCTAGAGCCTCATGCCTATCCCGATCGAAGTGGCAACGCCTCTACCGCTTGACCGGTTTAGCATCTCCAGCCTTACATTTAGAGAGTGCTTGATCACCTCCGTCAGGACACCCGTCATGTTAGTGTGCTTAGATGCGAAGATGTCCTTAATTGTTCTCTTGGAGGAAGGTGTCGAGAGCTTCCTGTTTGTCGCCAAGCCCATTCCCAACCAAGGCCCTTTGGGTGGAGTGTCCTAGCTTCATTATCGCTTCTTGGTCTCCTTAGCTGGCTTGAATGCTAAGGACACTATAGAGTTCTTGGTGAGGATCTCGTCCTTGGTCCAACTCAGCGTGGCCACAACTTGGGCCAGTGCGAACTCACAGTCACAACTCTACCTGTCATTGTCGTAAGCATATTGGTACATGTCGTAGTCGTAAGCCTATTGGTGGTTGCAATGAAACATGAGTACCCCATTAAGGCTTGACATATTCAGCTTCAGGCATGTATAGTTTGGGATTGCCATGAACATGGCCTACCAGGGTCTCTAGAAGTCCCATCATGGCCAAGAACCTCGAAGGTGATAGTGTGAAAGTGATGAGCAAAGTATTTTTTCCTAGTGGTAATGGCGGACTTCCCAGGCATAACCCCTTGGAAAGGTGTGCTGATTTGCCATAGCTTGGAGACAAGAATCTCCGGGTCATCGAGCATTTCGGCATAAAAACATTGAGCGCGCTCCCTCTGTCCATGAGGACCTGGTCAATCGGATGTTGTAGACAATGGAGTCCACCAGCAGAGGGTTCCTCTCGTGGTGGGCGACATGGTCGATATGTTCCAAGCGACAATAGGAGACATACTACTTGGGCCATAGGAGATATTGTGGAGTTGCAATATCAATAGATTGACCTCTAAAGATATGAGTTTCTGCTTGCGCTTCCACTCTTATGCATCAGAGCCCTCCAAGATCATGAAGATGTTGTCCTGAGCCTAGTACCTACTAGCGTCATCCTATGGCAGATCCTTCTTGGCATGGTTGACCTTCCTGCCATGTGCCTTAGTGTATTTCTCCATGGCGTTGAACTCCTGTAAGGACTGGATTGCCACAAGAGGGGAGGGGGTGGGGTTGAATTAGGGCTCTAAAAATTATCAAGACAAACTTTACCCTATTGAACTATCACTCCACACTTGTAGTTCTTAGCCTAAGGACTAGAAGGTTCTTACTAATAGCGAGTCCTTAGGTCCATCACTCTAAACATGTCCTTAGCAAAGAACACACTAAGATATTGTCCATAGTTGCATAATAGAACACTATTTCTAAGCATAATTTAGCATGCAATCCTAGTTGTTACACTCAAAGTTCTGAACACAAACTAGCATTAACACCTAAACTAGAACAAGTAATGCAAGACATAAATAGGAGAAAGAGACAAATTGATTTATCGCTTGGTATCGGCTGCCACAGTGCAACCCCTAGTCCACGTTAGATCTCCACATTGGTACGCTCCAAGTCACCATGTATCTCCTAGTCATGGTGTTTTCTTCCAACTAGAGACAATGGAGCCACATAGTCTCCCTATACCACCGACTATTTAGGTCTCGGTGTTGGACTCTACCCAACTAAAGATAGTGTCGTGAGTCACTAAGTCTCACAATTGACACCACTATCACCTGATATAGTGACAATATTGGATCACAAACCAAAGCAGTCATAAGTCACTAAGTCTGACTTCCCAACCTCCACCCGATATACTAACCACCATGGCGTCATGTACACTATTGAGTTTCTTCACCGAGGGAAGGGGTCTCCTTGTCCCTAGCACACCAATACAGTGCCGCTCCACATCACTCTTGGAGGGTGCCGCCATGAAGGCCACCGCCTTTGTTGGAAGTCACACACACTACTGGAAACTCGAATGTTCTGTGGGTGAAGAATTTTTCCGTGCGTTTTTTTCGGTACGCACAGAAAAATTACGATTTTTTTGTCGGTTTTAAAATATCCCGACAGAAAAATACGAAAACCCACGGAATAATTGTATGATTTTTCTGTGCGTGACAATACACACACGGAAAAAATCAGCACTCACAGAAAAATGCAACTTATTTTGTCGGTTCTTTAAAAATGAACAGAAAAAATACATGCACGCACAAAAAAATGTTATTATTCTGTCGGTTATTTTAAAACGCACAGAAAAAACATACACACGCACGGAAAAATTCAAACGACCAAGACCCCTCCCTTCTTCTTATCCCAGCGCCCCCTCCCCCTCCCTTCTTCTTCCTCCGCTTTTGAACCCCAGGCGCCCCCTCCCCTCCCTTCTTCTTCCTCCGCGCCCGGACCCCAGCGCCGCCTCCCTTCTTCTTCCCCGGCACTCGGCCCCCAGCGCCCTCCCCCCTGTCGCCGCCCCTCCCCTTCTTCCCTGGCGCCGCCCCTCCCCAGCCTTCTTCTTCCCTGGCGCCGCCCCTCCCTCTCCCGGATCCGGCCCTCCCTCTCCTGGATCCGGCCGGTGGAGGCCGGTGGCGGCCGGATCTGGGCGCTGGTGGTGGCGGGCGGCGTGCGGCGTGGCATCTGCGCACCATTGGGGATCTCCTCAGCGACCTCGCCATCGAAGGCGGTGACGGCCCCCTCGTCGACGTCAGAGATGCGTCCGCCCCCTCCTCTCCAGCGGCGTCGCAGCTAGCGGAGAAGGCCGATTCGTCCGATCTTAGCCGACCCTTCGAGGTTAGGGCGGCAGGAGGATCCAGGTGCGTGGCCTATAACCTAGCCATCTCAAGTCTCCTCCTCCATGGTACTCCGCGTGCTCATGGGTAACCCTAGCCACGCCTGTGATGCCCCAAACCCTAGCTGCATTCTGGATCAAGGGGTCCATTACCTGTATAGTTCATGGATTTCATTTGGGTAACCCTAGCTGCTCAGGTTTTGCACATATGTCCCTTCGTTCTCTCCTTCTTTCCCCAAATTGATATGGTTCCTTGATTTATGATGGCTGCAATTTCCTATGAATTTCCCCAAACTAAGACTTGTCCTTTACCATGTGATTTGGGCTATATGATAATTAATTGTACTTTAGTGTCAAACTCTTGATGCTTGTTAATTGGAGATTAATACTGAAATTTTTGTGGCTATAATAGTAGTAGTTTTATCAGAGGATATAGCAGCTCTACTTAGCCTATGGTTTCATGTCTAAATTGTTAATCATTGAATTGTTACAATCGGAGGATATAGCAGCTCCACCAAGCAGTGTGGAAAAAGTCATGGGAATTGATGAGCTGTGATGATTGTAACTCCTTGTATTTCAACCTGTTTTGTATATCTACCTAGCTTCTATTAAGTCACAAGTAAACTGCTATATATTGTTTTGGTTATCTACCTAGTTTTGACTTATCTAAAGCTCTAAACTACTATATGTGCTAAAAGCTCCAAACAACTATGTTAGAATTTGATGCTAAAAGCATGCTGGGGATTTCTAGTTGTGATTGAGCAGGCCAAGGACAATATCGGCGAGAGAGTCGCAGCGCTCCAACAGCCAGGGTCACTGTTTGGAAAGGTATTTTCAGTCCTACAAGTTTTTCAATTATCTTACTGTTTGAAAACTTAATGTATCCTGCTAGACATAGTTTGGAGTTAGAAATGTGCTTTCCAGAGCAATAGAACTAGTTTGGAGTCAGAAATGTGCTAGCCTAAGCAAACTTTTTTTTTATATGAACCAGTACCATCGATTGCCATTAAGATGCTTTCGTCTTGATTACAAAGGTTACTAAGATTTGTTTTTGCATTTTCCTATGTGGATGTTGGGAGCAGGAGGAGCTCGTGCAGCTTAAGCGCGAGGCTTATGGAGGAAGGGTAGTTTCTATGTCAGTCCTGATCCAAAGTTGATGTTTGTCAGAAGGGTAACTAACTCAGATTCTTGCTGTTCTTTTGCTTGCTTTAGACATATTCTTGCAGTTATGGTCCATATTTATAAGCTGTAGTTATTCTGCTTGATCTTTGGAAATGGTTTGCTACTCTCGATTGTCTATCTTGATCACAGTAGTGTGAATGTGTAGCAAGCAAAACTTAATTTAGTTGTAGATGTGCAGGAAGATGGTAGCTGCAATCACTCTTCTTGATCACAATAGTATGAATGTGCAGGAAGATGGTAGCTGCAGTCACTCTTTCTTATTTGTATAATCATAAAGCTGACAATTGGTTCTTTTGTTTTCTCATGCTGTAGCTATCAGCTGGATATCAATGTTGACAAAGCAGCTGATTTCTTTGAAGCAGTACGCAGGCTGTTTTCCTCCTTAAGGTAAATTCCAGTGCGCGGCGTGTAAAAATCTGAGAGATAATGATAGAATTGTAGAAATTCTATATTTCTTCTCCTGGACTTATATCTGCTAGAGTCAGTGAAGTGGATCTCCTGGCAGACCTTCAGTTTTTTGTTTGGTTGGCTGCTTGCAAATTATTCTCTAATTAGCATGAAACTGTCTGTGTATTGGAAATTGTCATGTATGATAGCGAATTGGGAAGTGATAACAGCTTGTTTTGAAGAGCCATTTTCTCACTACTCTTGAGTGACTGTGATGAATCAAGTTTCCATTAGAGAACTTCTGTACTTTAGCACCTTATGAGCTGGTACTTGGGATATTTTGTTCTGTTTGCTGCTTAACTAGGATGGCTTGTACCAGTACAAGCAACCAGTTCTATGGCCAGTTCAATTCCCATTAGAGAGAGAGATTATTAAATTAAGCTCCAGGTGAAATTAAGTTGCAGTTGTCATGCTGATAATGGGTAAATCTGAGCCATTTCTCGAGTTCTTTTGCTCTTGTTCTTTTGCTCCAGGTGAAATATATGTAGTTCTTGTGCTTTTGACATACTGCTCTCTAATGGATCTGGAATTACCAATAGTTTCTTTTCTATTAACCTGTCACATGTGTGTTATTTTTAGAATTAAAAGCACGCTCCTGTTGTTACAATCTCCAATATTTTTTAGAGCTCATACATGGTGTAGATGTTTGAAAAATACTTGAATTTCTAAACCGATACATTTTCGGTTATGAAGTACAACAATTATTGTCTAGTAACAATTATTTCTCAATCTATCTTGGGTTAGCGTTTCACATTACTTAATTCTCTGTTGTACTGAAATGCTATGTATGTGTAGTCATTTCCATGGTCTACAGATTTTTTAGACATCTTTCTCATATAAGAAAACTTGCCCATTCTACCATGTTAGCTTTCTGTTATTGCATTCATGTGAAACCACTCCCATGGACTTTCATTTGATTTCCCTGTATTCCATGTGTCTGATTCTTTTGGGACTTTCAGATGCTCATCAGACTCCATCTTATCTTTCTCACCCCAACTGGATCCTGCATTAGACTTGACATTTGGTCTTCCAATTCCATCTCCAGCATTCCAAGCATTGCCTGATGGTGGCATCACATTGTTATAGGAGGAATCATGATCAACATTTGTCTTCTTCCGTTTGTAAGTGCTTGGCTGCTCCTCCCATTGGCAGTTACCATCTACCTTCTTTTTGCCCCTGGCATTTCCCCACGTGTCCCGATCTACATTCAAACTCTGCCCATTCCAGTTGCTGGGATGCTCCCAATTGCCATGGCCATCATCAGACTTCTTCTCCCAGGCACCATCACCTCCATCTCCTTTTCTTTTGTCCCATGTATTTTCTGATTTGCCCCATGCGTCATTTTTATTTGATGCCTCAGGAGTGCGGGACGACTTCTCCCAATTATCATCACTTGCATCTAAATCCATTTTAGCACCCTTATCAGCCCAAGTATCAATTTCAGCTGGTTGTCTAGATACAGTTGCCTCGCCTGTTGGCTTCTCAGTGCTCCAGCCTCCTCAATCAGTGGAATTGTCCTGCACCTTAGCATGCACTTCCCATGAATTATCTTCATCTGCTGGCTTTGCAGTCGCTCCACCTCCACTACTCCAGCCTCCCCAATCAGTGGAATATTTTGTGAGATGACATTTAGTTCTATTTTCCTTGCTGTTTTTCGGTAGATGGCATTCGGTGCAAATCAAATTGGCTTGTGACCTGAGATGAAAGGTACTGAGCAGTCCCCACTATGCTCAATAAAAAGGCAAACTTCTTACAATACTAGTGTTTTTTGTTGACTAAAAATATGCCTTTGCTTAACAGGTAGAGATGGAGTGGAAGGTGAAGCGGTTTCTTTCTCCTTCTCCGCTGCCTCCCCTGACCTTGAGAGCCTCACGCGAGGACGCGACCATGACGCCTCCTTCCATGGAATCGATCCCAGCGGCGGCGCCCCTCAGCCCCTGACACCACGATGCCCCTGCGGCCTGCGGCCTCACGCTGCCAACGCCGCCCAGTGCCCAGTCCGCCATGCTGTGGTGCCGCCACTAGCTGGAGGTGGTGGGAGCCCTTCTGCTTTGGTGCCTGGTTGTGAATTCATTGTAGTATTCATGTTGAACATGTAGATGACCAGATATCATATCTATATATATGATATATGTGCTCATGGATCAAACTGATTCTATTTCTGACATAAGTGTTGACTCCATTCATGATGAACTACTGATTTGTGTATTATTTGAATGAAACCTTGTTGGTCATGTACAGAAATTACTGTATGGAAAATATATATTTTAATATGCTGTTGCTACTGTTTTAAAATAATTTTTTTGTGTGTTTAACTCTTTTTTCCTGTGAGGCTGGTTACACAGAAATATTATTTTTAATCTGGGTGAAATGATTTTTTCTGTGAGTTCACCTAGACCGACAGAAAAATACTTGTGTTTTGCTGTGCGTTTATTTCTTTTTTTGTGGATTAGCACACAGAAAAATTAGTTTTAATCTGGGCGAACACATATTTTCTGTGCGTGTGAGACCCACAGAAAAATTATTTCTGACGGTGAACCCACAGAAAAATTGATTTTTCTGTCATTCTATTTCTGTGTGTTATTTTCTAACGGTACACCGTCAGAAAAATATTTTTCCGTGGGTATTCGATTTTTTCCGTGGGTTTTACACGCACAGAAGTATTCGAGTTTCCAGTAGTGACATTATCTCAAGCGCTTCGGCTCGTGAACTTCAGCTCTCATGGCTGTCCCACACACACAAGTACAGGGATCACTAACATATTTGTTCCCCTCATGCCAACATATGGCCCTAACACACTGCATCTCACTTGATCCTCACATTTCTCTCTCCTCGAGCTCCATACTCCCCTCCACTGAACTCATTTCCAAAAGGCCCCAGGAAGACCACTTGGGGGTATTTATATCTGAAACCCCCGTAGAGAGCCGTTGCCAAATAATGTCAAAAGTGCTCCAATAATCACATGCAAAACACAGGTCGGACAGTCCATTCAACACCACTAGATTGTTCGGCGCATTTATCTATATAGTGCACCTCCAATGGCTATTTCTGACACCCCAATGGTTAGTTGATGTGACCTATCTACAGAAGGTCTAGTGCTCATATTCATCACATCACTGGACTATCCCTTGCTCCGTTCTACACAGTCAATTTTAACTATCAACACATGACGTGATAATTGTCCAGTGCTCACAAATCTTCTTCGTTTGTCTGTTTGTTGAATGCATTTCCATAGCGCCTTCAAACAGTAGCATCTATCACTGGGTGTCCAATTGTCCGGTGCTCACGTTTCTTAGCTGGACAATCCATTGATTTAATTAAACAATATTATTCCCACTTGAGTACTGTGTGTACTATCGCTATGGCGGGGGAGAAGATGTGATCTTGTGTTCGTATATATGTGGATCACATACTAATCATCTTTGGAACCAGCTTTAATGTGATTAAGGAGGTGAATGACTTCTTGTCCAAAAATTTGGAGATGAAAGACTTGGGTGTGCCTAATGTTATTCATAAGATGCTAATAGAAGGTTACATTCATCATTTAATCCGATATATAGAATTCCCTTCTTTATGGAACTAGCTAGATTCCATATCTAGTTCTATGCAGCATATTGTTATCAATTGTATATCTTGATTTGATTCCTATTTGATTTGGATTAGTTAGATTTCAATAGGGCTTCTTCCTTTATTTCGTCTTTTATTATGTTAGATGAAGGGGGAAAAATGGGAAATCAAAGATATCGAAGATGCATATGTACCAGGATTGGAAGCTAGTCGGAATGGTACACTTCTTTAAGAAAACCTATGGCTAAGAGCCTAGATATCTCTTCTCCTAGAGCCTCATGCCTATCCCGATCGAAGTGGCAATGCCTCTCCCGCTTGACCGGTTTAGCATCTCCAGCCTTACATTTAGAGAGTGCTTGATCACCTCCGTCAGGACACCCGTCATGTTAGTGTGCTTAGATGCGAAGATGTCCTTAATTGTTCTCTTGGAGGAAGGTGTCGAGAGCTTCCCTGTTTGTCGCCAAGCCCATTCCCAACCAAGGCCCTTTGGGTGGAGTGTCCTAGCTTCATTATCGCTTCTTGGTCTCCTTAGCTGGCTTGAATGCTAAGGACACTATAGAGTTCTTGGTGAGGATCTCGTCCTTGGTCCAACTCAGCGCGGCCACAACTTGGGCCAGTGCGAACTCACAGTCACAACTCTACCTGTCATTGTCGTAAGCATATTGGTACATGTCGTAGTCGTAAGCCTATTGGTGGTTGCAATGAAACATGAGTACCCCATTAAGGCTTGACATATTCAGCATCAGGCATGTATAGTTTGGGATTGCCATGAACATGGCCTACCAGGGTCTCTAGAAGTCCCATCATGGCCGGGAACCTCGAAGGTGATAGTGTGAAAGTGATGAGCAAAGTATTTTTCCTAGTGGTAATGGCGGACTTCCCAGGCATAACCCCTTGGAAAGGTGTGCTGATTTGCCATAGCTTGGAGACAAGAATCTCCGTGTCATCGAGCATTTCGGCATAAAAACATTGAGCACGCTCCCTCTGTCCATGAGGACCTGGTCAATTGGATGTTGTAGACAATGGAGTCCACCAGCAGAGGGTTCCTCTCGTGGTGGGCGACGTGGTCGATATGATCCAAGCGACAATAGGAGACATACTACTTGGGCCATAGGAGATATTGTGGAGTTGCAATATCAATAGATTGACCTCTAAAGATATGAGTTTCTGCTTGCGCTTCCACTCTTATGCATCAGAGCCCTCCAAGATCATGAAGATGTTGTCCTGAGCCTAGTACCTACTAGCGTCATCCTATGGCAGATCCTTCTTGGCATGGTTGACCTTCCTGCCATGTGCCTTAGTGTATTTCTCCATGGCGTTGAACTCCTGTAAGGACTGGATTGCCACAAGAGGGGAGGGGGTGGGGTTGAATTAGGGCTCTAAAAATTATCAAGACAAACTTTACCCTATTGAACTATCACTCCACACTTGTAGTTCTTAGCCTAAGGACTAGAAGGTTCTTACTAATAGCGAGTCCTTAGGTCCATCACTCTAAACATGTCCTTAGCAAAGAACACACTAAGATATTGTCCATAGTTGCATAATAGAACACTATTTCTAAGCATAATTTAGCATGCAATCCTAGTTGTTACACTCAAAGTTCTGAACACAAACTAGCATTAACACCTAAACTAGAACAAGTAATGCAAGACATAAATAGGAGAAAGAGACAAATTGATTTATCGCTTGGTATCGGCTGCCACAGTGCAACCCCTAGTCCACGTTAGATCTCCACATTGGTACGCTCCAAGTCACCATGTATCTCCTAGTCATGGTGTTTTCTTCCAACTAGAGACAATGGAGCCACATAGTCTCCCTATACCACCGACTATTTAGGTCTCGGTGTTGGACTCTACCCAACTAAAGATAGTGTCGTGAGTCACTAAGTCTCACAATTGACACCACTATCACCTGATATAGTGACAATATTGGATCACAAACCAAAGCAGTCATAAGTCACTAAGTCTCACTTCCCAACCTCCACCCGATATACTAACCACCATGGCGTCATGTACACTATTGAGTTTCTTCACCGAGGGAAGGGGTCTCCTTGTCCCCAGCACACCAATACAGTGCCGCTCCACATCACTCTTGGAGGGTGCCGCCATGAAGGCCACCGCCTTCGTTGGAAGTCACACATTATCTCAAGCGCTTTGGCTCGTGAACTTCAGCTCTCATGGCTGTCCCACACACACAAGTACAGGGATCACTAACATATTTGTTCCTCTCATGCCAACATATGGCCCTAACACACTACATCTCACTTGATCCTCACATTTCTCTCTCCTCGAGCTCCATACTCCCCTCCACTGAACTCATTTCCAAAAGGCCCCAGGAAGACCACTTGGGGGTATTTATATCTGAAACCCCCGTAGAGAGCCGTTGCCAAATAATGTCAAAAGTGCTCCAATAATCACATGCAAAACACAGGTCGGACAGTCCATTCAACACCACTAGATTGTTCGGCGCATTTATCTATATAGTGCACCTCCAATGGCTATTTCTGACACCCCAATGGCTAGTTGATGTGACCTATCTACAGAAGGTCTAGTGCTCATATTCATCACATCACTGGACTATCCCTTGCTCCGTTCTACACAGTCAATTTTAACTATCAACACATGACGTGATAATTGTCCAGTGCTCACAAATCTTCTTCGTTTGACTGTTTGTTGTATGCATTTCCATAGCGCCTTCAAACAGTAGCATCTATCACTGGGTGTCCAATTGTCCGGTGCTCACGTTTCTTAGCTGGACTATCCATTGATTTAATTAAACAATATTATTCCCACTTGAGTACTGTGTGTACTATCGCTATGGCGGGGGAGAAGATGTGATCTTGTGTTCGTATATATGTGGATCACATACTAATCATCTTTGGAACCAGCTTTAATGTGATTAAGGAGGTGAATGACTTCTTGTCCAAAAATTTGGAGATGAAAGACTTGGGTGTGCCTAATGTTATTCATAAGATGCTAATAGAAGGTTACATTCATCATTTAATCCGATATATAGAATTCCCTTCTTTATGGAACTAGCTAGATTCCATATCTAGTTCTATGCAGCATATTGTTATCAATTGTATATCTTGATTTGATTCCTATTTGATTTGGATTAGTTAGATTTCAATAGGGCTTCTTCCTTTATTTCGTCTTTTATTATGTTAGATGAAGGGGGAAAAATGGGAAATCAAAGATATCGAAGATGCATATGTACCAGGATTGGAAGCTAGTCGGAATGGTACACTTCTTTAAGAAAACCTATGGCTAAGAGCCTAGATATCTCTTCTCCTAGAGCCTCATGCCTATCCCGATCGAAGTGGCAATGCCTCTCCCGCTTGACCGGTTTAGCATCTCCAGCCTTACATTTAGAGAGTGCTTGATCACCTCCGTCAGGACACCCGTCATGTTAGTGTGCTTAGATGCGAAGATGTCCTTAA